CGCACGTGGAGCGGCTGCGCTACGCGCGACCTTCGCGGACGCAACACGAAAACGAATAGAACAACTTTCATGCGCGCGCGCCGACGCAAGACGATTTGGCGCGCAAGCCGAACTGTCGGCCGACGGACGCTCACGCGCGGCGCAGCGACACCCGCGCGGCCGAAAGAGATGCCCAGGCATCGGGCTTCCAGAATGCCTCGCTAAGACGCGGCAGCACGAAAGAAGCGCCGATCTCGCGAAGGAGCCAGTACTGCTCCCGCGACGGCAAATCGGCAACGTTTAGCTTCGAGGGGACGCGGTCGACGCGGAGCGAGACGCGCAATTGCGCCGCCTGCAGCCACAAAGAATTGATGAGACACGTATAGTCCCACTCTTTGGAAGCGCCTTTCCGCGTGGCAGTCTCGGCACCGACGTTGTCGGACCAGAGGCGCACGCGCCTGCCCGCGAGCGCGTTGCTGAATGTGGAAAGGCCAAACGCGATCGCAAGAAGCTCGAGGGACATAATCTGCGCATCGCCCCTTTGCTTGAAATGGCGCAGAACGCAATCGGGGGGAGCCCAATCGGAGTAGGAAGCCCGCCCGTCGAGGAAGAGCACAGCCGCGACGCGGGGCGGCGTGCTGCGCGCGTCGACAAAGAGCTGCGCTGCCTCGCGCTGATCTGGTGCCCAGACACGGGTCTCGCAGAGCTCCAGCGCTAAGACTTCTGCCCACCATTCGAGTGCGACGCGCAGCTGCTGCGGCACCACCACGCCGCACTGCTTCGAGTGGGCGAACAAGGGCCGGATGAGCGCGCGCCCGATGCGATGGAACATGCCCGAGCATGCCCACATCAGGGCGCCCGCAAGCTTTGCCGCGTCCCCTGGCCGCAAAACGCCCGAGGAGAGCGCGTCGCCAATGCGACCGCGCCACTTCTTGACCTTGTCGGGCGACGGAGTGCACGAGAAACCGCCGTGGTCTGCGCGGACCTGAAGGCCCAGGACGACAAGCGGCATGCCCGCGGCGACCTTGTCCGCCGCGATTGCAGAGGGGCCGAGGATGCAGCGCACGAGCCGCACGATGCACTCGAGCGCATGCTCGGCGCATGCCGCGCGCTCGGCGCCAAAGAGGTCATCGACGAAACGCAGCATGGGAATGAACAGTAGGCGACGCACAAGGTGCGAAATGAGCGCGCCGACCCTTTCCCACGCATGCACGGACGCGACGGCGCCGAAGGGCATGGCTAGGTGCCCTGCCACATGGGCCACGCCCTGCGCGAGGAAAACGAAGAACAGGAACCGGTGATGCATCGGCATGGCGGGAAGCCTGCGGAAGGCCGAGTCAATGTCGGCTTTGTAGAACATGGTGCGTTCGCGCGTGCCCTGCGCCACGCCCCTGGCGACGCGATACAGCGCATCGATGGACTCGGGGCGAAACTTTTCGCCTGCCGAGGTGCACCCGTTCACTTTCGCGCGAGTAAGATCGTCAACAGCCCGAACGCGTATGTCGCCATTGGGCCGCGCTTGCACAACCCCGAAGCGCGGCGACAAGACGTTTGCACTGAGGTCGGCCTGCACAGCCGTGACAGGCTGGGTCGCGCGACCCATGCGCGCTTCTTTGAGAGACTGCTGCAGCAACGTCGCCGAATGAGCGTCCTCTTTGAGGGGCGCCAGCAACGCGCGTTTGGCTTGAGCGGCGCCCCCTAGCACGGTTGAGACCGGCTGCGCGTCGAGACGCTGCACGGGCACGCCGCTTCCCGAGACTGGGAGCGGGCCCACCGCTGGCGCGCCGCGGCGAAAGAATTCTATGCACGCGGCGTCCTGGAAATCGGTGCGAGCGGCGAGCGCCTCTATTAAAGGGCCGTTGACGCCAGTCGCCACCTTGCGCACGCCTGCATCGGCCCCTACATGCCAGCGGGCTACTTCGCCCGACACGCGCAGCGCCCGCACCTCAGCTTCAATGTCGCAGATGAAGCGCTCGCGTTCGGCATTAATCTGGTCCGATTGGCGCGCGTTCACCCATTCCACCGCGGCCCAGACGTCTGCGCTGACGTCAACGGCTGGCTCGAAATCGACTTGCTCACGGCACGCGTCGTCGACGAATTGTAGCTTCCCCACATCGTCGGCGTTCACCTGGCGAGGCGCGCGAGCAGCCCAGTCGTTCGCCGCCTGCAAGGCGGAGTTCGACATGCAACATTGCGGACCGCGCGATGCGCGCGGGGCCTGCGTCGAGGACGCGCCGCGAGACCGTGGGCGCCGCCGGACTGGGGGAGCTGGCGGCGCAGGAGCACGCCCCGACGGCGGCGCTGGTGGAGGCGGCGGCAGCCGCCCGCGCATTGCAAACAAACGCGACGAACAAAGTAGCCTCGATCGCGTCGGGTCGCAGCAAAAGCTGAACGGCGGACCTGAACGCGAGCGCGCGGAACGACCCGCGTGCGCCGCGGCCGCTGCAATATGACATGGCGCGCGAGCCGAACTGTCGGCCGTTTCATTGCCCGCGCAATTTCGGCGCGGACCGGCCCATGCATCGCGCCGCATTGCTTTGCGTAGGTTGCGAAGAGTGAGAAGGCATCGCGCCGACTATTGTTCGGCTAAATTTGCATGCACCGCGCGCCGACAAGTGTTCGGCCCCCGCGCTGTCACTCTTGACACCGCGCGAGCCTGCGCGCCACCGCGTGCTCCGCGCGCCCGCGGCCCCCTTGCGCCCTGGAGCTGCGGCGCTATGGGCGGGCCCTCTTGACGGCCCTCGGGGGCGCGCGCGGCTTGCGATTCACCTCCCCGCCGCGATCCGCCGCGCCCCAGCTGTGCCCGCGGTAATCGCCCGCCGAGCCCCAGCTGTTCCAGCGCTTTCCCGACCATTGCGCGCTCTTGCCACCGCTCGCGGAGCCGTGGCCCTTCCCCGCGGCGGCTTTGCCCGTCGCCACCTGCGAACGCGCCGCGCGAAAGAATAGGTGGGGAGTGGGGGCTGCTGCCCCGCGCGAGCCGACGCGACGAGGGGGCCTGGGCGCTCGCGCAGGCCGCCGGGGGCATTGCCGTTGAAAAGCGCACATGAAGCGCTCGCGAAAGCGCGCAGATGAAGCGCTCGCGAAAGCGCGCGCGCCGTCCGCCACGGCGGGACGCAAGCGCACATGCCTGCGAGATGCAAGCACCAATGCCTGCACATCGCACGACCCCGAGGCGCGCCGCGAACCGCCCCGACGCGATCCCCGCGGCGCGCCTGCACGGGGCGTTCGACGCAAAGCGAGCAGAAGAGCAGACTAGCCACGCGCGTGACGACGCACCCCCCTCGCGCGCGGGCCCTTCGCGCGGGGCCGCGCGCCGCGAGGCACGTGCCGTCGCTCCCCCCCCCCCCTCGCGCGCGCAGGCCCTTCGCGTGGGGCCGCGCGCCGCGAGGCACATGCTGACGCCCCCCCGCCTCGCGCGCGCGGGCCCTTCTCGTGGGGCCGCGCGCCGCGCGGCGCAGGAAAGCGGGAGGCGGCCCGCGCGCCCAGCTTGCCCGCCCGCGCGCGGGCCAGGCGCGGGCGCGAAATTTGTGCCCGCGCACAACGCAGCACAAGCGAGCGCGCGCGCTTTCGATGGCGTTGGGCGCCCACAAGAAATCCGCGCGAAGCGCCAAACGTTTATGTCTATGACGTTTTGCCTTCTTCGGAATCCTGGCGCCCTCGCATGGCCGCCCCAGAGAAGGACGCCTCTCCAACCCGAGCCGCGATACGCGGAGCGCTGCTACCCTCCCACGCCCCCCCTCGGGCGGCCTATTAGGGGCACGCCGCTGCTGGCAGCCCTGCGCAACCCGCCCGCGCGCGGCTCTGTACGCACGCCCGCGCGGGCGTGGCTGTCGCCGCTCCCGCGAGAGCCCATACGAGGAGCGCCAGAACGAGCACGGAGGAACTCACAGAATTCGTCCAGGCGGGACTCCCTTTTCCTCCTCCTCCTACTCCTCCTCCTCCTCCTCCTCCATCTCTCCTCCTCCTCCTCCTCCTCCTCCTCCTCCTCCTCCTCCTCCATCTCCTCCCCCTCCCCCTCCTCCACCCCCTCCTTCTCCTCCTCCTCCTCCGCCTCCTCCTCCTCTTCCTCCATCTCCTCCTCCCCCTCCCCGCCCTCCGCCTCCTCCTTCTCCGAGTGCAAACCTAGACCCTATGGTCAACCGATCGGGATCCTGAGGCTTTTATGCCACACTTTCTCTGGCGGCCGTTCGCAAGTCTGCTCTGACTCCGCATTCCCCCGCCAGACTGTTCGGGGCCCCCAAACTGTGTGGTGACGGACAGCGTGACCTCCGTTCCCCTTCCCCTTCCCCTTTCCCGTGTATTGCCATATTTGGCTGTCTTGGCGGTACTTCCGGATTGCCCCTGGACCGTCTTGGCGCCTTCTTGGGCTCCTATTGCGCAATACCCATACGACCTATAACACTCTGGAACACTTCGAAGAGCGGCCATGGACACATTTTCAGCTGGAGCACTTGGTAAGCAAGCGACAAGGGAAGGCCGGTCCGGAAGGGAAACAAGCGACAATGGAAGGAGAGCGGGGACGATGAGGCGAGCTGCCGAAGCGTCGGGCGGGATGCGCGCCCCGCCAGGCTGCGCAGGAGGCGGGCCCAAACCTCGAGACTTTGCGTCTGTCGGGAGACCCGTGCAGGGCGTCAGAGGAGAAGCACAGGGGAGCCCAGAACCGACTCGATACATCGGATCGGCGATCGAAATTAATCGGATCGGCGGGAATCGGCAGCCTAGTCGGGAGAAGTCGAATCAGCGGAGGTCGGCAGGCCACCGAGCCCTCCGCCGAGAAACCAGAGGCCAGATCGGCATCCGAGATCGGACCGAGCCCACACCGGAGGCCACCGAGATCGAACCAAAGCGGCACAGGCCAGACAACCCGAAGACCCGAATTTCAGGTTTGGGGGGGGGGTACGGGCTTCAGATGTGTCTTTTCAATGTTCCCCGGCCCCCCCCCCCACTGGGAATGGAAGGCAAGTTGGGGCCTTCGGGTTGGTTTGGGGTGGCTTGGTGGGTGGTGGACGTGGGGGGGGCGCCTTTGCGAGCGCCTTTCGGAAGCCGTCCTTCTCCTCGGGCCAGCTGGAGATCGCCACCATGAGCCCTGGGGTCGGCCGCAGGCGTCCAAGCGAGGCCCGCGGGGAGAGGGCCACGAGGAGGAGGAGGATTGGGGGGGGTGAGGAGAGGCGGCGACAGAGCCGGAAGGGAGGTGATGGGGGAGGCGGAGCAGGCAGAGAACGTGGAAGAGGCAGGAGAAAGAGGAGAAAGGGGAAATCACGGGGAGAGGAGGGTGAGAAGGGGAGGGGCTATAAACTGTCCCCCAGAGGCCTTCGAGAGCGCTTCGAAGAGACCCCAAGAAGCATGCATGAGGACTCTGACCCACGTAAGCGTCGTTGTTGTCACCGCCGCCCCCGTTGTCGCCGTTCCCCTTCATGGTCGGCGGCACCGGCCGTAAGGCCTTCGCAATATCGGGGAGAGGAGGGTGAGAAGGGGAGGGACGATGGTCTACAGCCGTGCCGCGAGGCACGAAGTGGAGCGTCCTTTTACATCCCTTTCAATTCTCTGCGTAGGGGGACCCAGGCTCCGGGTTGCCGAAACTCTTGCGCGCTCCCTGGCGTTTTTCTCTTGAGTCTGGACTTGTCTCCAAAACTTTGCAGCGTGCTACGTGTCACGTCTTGGAGGCCCTGGGGGGCCGGGCTGGGAGCCCCAAGTATTGAAAGCACATGCTTTGCGTATGTGGCTTGCGCCTGCTCGCCTCTTCGGTCTCGCGAGCGTCTGAGGCGGCAGAAGGGGCCCCTAAGAGAGGCGGCTCCTGGCCCTGAGCTCGTGGGATGCTCGTGGTCGCCTCATGGCAGCCTCCTGGTCCCCTCGTGGCCCCTTCACGCGCGAACCGTCTCTCACAGGTCCCCATTTCTCACAGGCTGACGAGGCAGGGCCTCTCTGATACTATGCACACCCGACGGAGTTGGAGACTTCTGTGCTTCTGAAGGTATGCTCTCCCCGCCCGTCCCGTGGACTGGGGAACTACATAGTCCTCCGCACCTGACCCCCCTCGGCCAAGCGTTGGCATTGCCTGCCTGCGGATGCAGTCGGAATGGCGTGCTCGTGCGGCACGCTCAAAACGCACAGCTCGCCGTGCGAAGAGTGTATCCGACTCGGATGCGAAGCTGCTCGACGACGCGCGCGCGCCCCTCAAGCGCGCAGGTCGTGGCGCTGACCGTGTGCACGGCTCTCCGCTGAAGCTGCGCAGAATCCGCGTGGCCTGCTCCCGTGCTGGGCCTCTGGCGTAGCATTCAGCGTGGTCCCCTCGCTCGGCCCAGGGGAGCGCCGTGCGCACGGCTTCGCTGCCTGCGCCGAGGGCCTGCGCGCACCAGGCGGTTGAAGCGAGCGGCAGGGGCGGCAGAGCTCTGGGGTCGCTGGCGGGGGCACTGAGAGCCCAGGATCGGAGCTGAGTCGGGCTGGCAGTCGACGTGAATCGGATCGGCAAAACTCGGCAGCCCAGTCGGGACAAAAATCGAATCGGCGGAAGTCGGCAGGGCAGTCTGCCTCCAACGAGACCTTGCCACCCAAAATCGGAATCCCAGGTCGAACCGAATCGAAATCGGACGCCATCCAAGCCGAACCGAATCGAGTCTGAGGAATCGAAACGAGACCTGCAGGGGAGAGGAAGGCAAGGGACGGGGTGGTGGGCGGAGGGGAAACGGAGGGGGGCGTGGAGGAGATGGGAGGGGCTGGGGAGGAGTGGGGCGGTGTGTGGGAGAGAGGGTGGAGGAGCGGCAGGAGAAAAAAATCAGGAGCAGAGGGAAGAGAGAGGGAACCGGAAGGGTGAGACGAAGAGGACAACGAGAATGAGGGCATGGGTGGGGACGGGAGGTGAGGGTGGGGGGAGGGGGGGATGTGGCTTGAGGGTCAGAAAACTTGTAAGTGGGAGTAGTCGGGTGAGGCCAGCTCGATGTGCCCATGCCGAAGCCCCTTCTCAAGCGCTGGTCGCTGGTGTCAACGGCAACACATGCGCTGGTCGCTGGTGTCAACAGCAACCTCGGCCTGAAAACGCTACATCATGGCGAGTGCCTTGGACACGTGTCGGTCCTCTCGGGATTGCGCAAGCTTGTCCGTCGTTTGTGTGAGGTGCGTGCGCCAGGAAGTCTTTCCTTGAGCCACGCGTGCTCTCCTCCAAGCACTACTTACTTCAAGCCCCACTTGATTGTGCAGCCCCCCATCTCCTAAACCACATCTAGCATGCTTGTGCCTCAGCAGAGGAACGGTGCTGGCCCGATGGGCAGGACGAAGACGATGAGGAAGGGGAGGAGGAGCAGGGGGATGAGGATAGGGAGGCGGCGCGGTCCGCCGTCCGGCGGCTCTAGGGTCGAGTGCAGAGCTCGACCACTCACAACAACCAGCATCGTTAGAGCCATCCCCGATCCCCACTGGGAGAGCCTTGGCAAGGCAGTCCAGCCTACCCCCTTGAGTGGAGATAGAGATGCCGTCTCCGTCGGGCTTCGCGGCATCGCCCCCCCCCCCGCCCAACAGGAGGAGGAGGAGGAGAAGGAGAAGAAGGAGGAGGAGAAGGGGGAGGAGGAGGAGGAGGAGGGAGGAGGAGGAGGAGGAGGAGGAGGAGACGCAAGCCCAATGAACTCCGCCGAAGAAACGAGGAAGCCACGAGTAGAGACGGGACACGCGGCAATTCCTTTAGCCGCGTCGGGTGTCGCCGCTTAGGGGAACTCCCGTTCGCGGGTGACGTTTGGCCTTCAGGTTATTAAAAGAGGAGGAGGAGGAGGAGGACGCCCACCTCGAAGGGTAGGCTGGTGGCCTTAAGGGACCCTGGCCCACTGGGGTTTGGGGATAAGTCGAACGATGATGAAGCAGGGTGGCAAGAGGAATAAAGTGACTGGGCCCAGGGATATAGAAATAAATACACACGAATCCCAGGCTCCCACATATTTTCCTATATGTTCTAGGTTGTCGTCTTCCCCACACTTCCCATATTTTCAACTAGTTCCTGCGAATAGACGATTCATTGTGTCTGTGTGTGTTTTCCCCTCCCAATGAAGGGATACAAACGTCATAAACATGAGCTCTCGAAGGCCCGCGCGGATTTCTTGGATTGGCGCTGGGCCACGGTCCCTGGGGCGCAGAGCGCGCAGTGGGCGGCGCTGGAGGCGCCGCCAGCGGGGCCCAGCGCCGGTCCGAGAAACCCCCGCGGCCCTCTAAGAGTGTATGTGTATGCTGTTTTTTTTCAGGGAACCCGCAAGGCGCCACATGTCTCCAGTCCGACCACCATTCACACGCAACCTCAGCCAGCCTGCCAGGCCCGAAGCGAAACTCTGGGCACGCACAGTGAGGGAAAAACGTCTTATTCAAACCCACATAAGACGAAAGGGTATTGGCGCCGTGTGGGCAACTACCCCAAGTGGCTTCACACAACGGCACAAGAGAGGATAACTCTCCGCGCAAAGTGATTAATGCATGCGGCGGCGTGCCTGACAGAAAACCTCCCCAAAATCCTATCAACAGAGGCGGCAGCGGGAAGCGGAAGAGGGCGAGGGGCAAGGAAAATGGAACGGACTCCAGGTCACAGCCAATGGCTCCACTGGCGGGCCAAACACTCTAGAGCAGTAGACACAGTAACCATGGAAAGCAAGGAACCTGAAACATCATGTGGGTATGTGGTATACCCGCGACGCGTCGAGGCCACGAGAGGCGTCCACCCCCGCAAAAATGGAGGGGCCGAGGCATCCCAGTGGGCGGGCGCCACGGGCTGGGCATAAGGCCCGCCTGCAAAACAAATTCAACTAAACACCGAACGACCCGCGGAGACGGAGAAGGAGGAGGAGCCAAAAGAGGGAGGGAAAATATCCACCCGCGCTCAGGAAGCCCTCAGAACACCGCGTACTCGAGATTCACGATCAGGCCTTCGGCGAAGGTGCGCGTGAACGCCTGCTCCATCTTTCGTGCTTGCGGCACATAGCAGGCCGCGGCGCTGAAGGCGCTGTCCAGGGCGCTGGCGAGTGCGAGGCGTCGATGCTGGCGCTGGGGCAGTGCAGGCGCCGGTGTGGATGCTGGCGGAGGTTCCAGCTGTCAAAGCAGATGCTGATCTCCAGTGTATGTGTATGCTGTTTGCTTCTTTCTGCGAAGGAGGTGGGAGAGCCGAAACACGTCCCCAGCTGGCAGCCGTCCGCCGCTGGAACACTCAGCTTCTCACACGAAGAGCGGCCCAGCGAACGTCGGGCGTCAGGTTCGGGGTGGGGTCTCACACCACCGAGATTAGAACAGGTGGGCACGCCCCGAATCGTCCAGCATAGCAAGGCGACGAAATCTGTACGTGTCCACTGCTCCCCGGCCAGGCCCATCCTGAGCCCAGCCAGCAGTGTATACGGCACGCCCTCCTGGCTTGCCCAGCAGGGCGTATACACAGCTCCTGGGCTCAAGATGGTCCTGGCCAGGGAGCAGTGCACATGTATAGATTTCGTCGCCCGACACTGAATAATAATAATCATGATCGTAATCAGCATCATAAACCTAGCCATGATATCATCAATCATAAGAACAAGAAGAAGAAACATCGACGTAATCATAAACTGGCCGAGGTCCACGCGGAATTCGTGGATCGGCGCGGGACCCCTCCTCCATGGCGCAGTCCGCACGCTAGGGCGGCGACGGAGGGAGGCGCCGTTGGGGGGATCTAGCGCCGACCCAAGAAATCTGCACCGACATCCGACAATTGACGTTTATGCAGAGTTTTCGGTGTTGAAACTAATCCGGTGACCCTCCCCTGAGTGCATCCCCTGCTGTCCCCGCCCTCTCTCTGGGCCTCGGTCCCTTCTCCTCCTCCTCCTCCAACTCCTCATCCTCCCTCCGTCCTCAGACCTCATCGTCCCCAATACTGCTCTCGTGCCCATCATCGTCCGCACCACCATGTTCAACCTCTCTGCATATCTCAATCCCACTCCCGTCCTGGCCGCTCTTCCACTGCAACCTGGATCACCACTCTCGACGCCGACCCTGCGGGGTCTGGCCCGCCGATGCCCCGCCTGCACAGACGAGGCAACAGATGGTGTACGCCGCCATCAGGGCAATCTGGCTCGGGTAGTCCTGCGATATCACAGGCTGGCCAGACTCATCTGGAAGAAAACTGGCTTCCTACTCCAGAAGATTGATGCGCACTGTCAAGATGAAGACAGAGAAGAAAGCAGACCGGGTTCTACTACATGATGGGCAGAATCCATATTATTGGCCAACGGAGCATCAAATTACAAAAAACGAGCGGGGCAAAAACAAAGTAACCCGAGGGTGTTAGTACACATGCGAACCCTACCCCTACCCCCCACGATTTCCGAGGAGAAGGGTGAGATTCCCTTCGCTGGGGAGCTCCCGAGCGAAGTGAACCCCACCCTCCCACTCAGAAATCGTGGGGGGCAGGGGTAGGGTTCGCATGTGGCCACCCCGAAGGTGTTCACAACTTCTGCCCTTCGTCATCGCTGCCACTTGCCGCCAGGACACGCAGGAGGTGCGCGCATGCGAGATCGGAGACGCGTCCGAGCGCTGCGCGCGTGCTCGCCAGGACCATCGCGGTGGTTTTTCCACTCTGCGCCGCTTCGCCGGATTGCCCACTCTAAACAGTCCCAATGCCACGGCACGACCTTCTTCAGAGCTATGCACATACACCGATTCTGGCCAGGCCCATCCTGAGCCCAGGATCGGTGCATACGCCCTCTACCTTGGCCAGGAAGGTATATGCGCCGATCCTGGGTCAAGGATGGGCCTTGCCAGGATCGGTGCCTGTGTATAGTTCTCTTCGCCTGATCTATCCTCCAGGACCGACAGAGGGAGCATCAAGACTCTCAGGAGGGGCCAAGTTGAGAAGAATGAGAAGGCAGGGAAGGGAAACACGTGACAACCCTGTCGTTCTCCAGATCGGTCCGTCCTTCCTCGCCCATGATCCACCGTCGTCCTCCTTCGCTCTCCCTGTCCCCCTTGTCCTCCTCATCCTCCTCCATTCCTCTTCTGTACAACCAACGCCTCACTGTTGCACCCCAAGGCCAATCGCCGAAAGGGCGGGACGGAAATGTCGCGTATCTCTAATCCTGAAGCTTGAAAACCGTTACAGCTTCACGGATGGAGCGCGGTCCGCTGTAAATATGTGGCTCTCGTCGTGTCGTCGCGTCACTCGTCTTGCACATGTGCAAGGGTTTCACGGCGGCCCGCTGTCAAACTGTGGCTCTCGCCTTAGCGTCTCGTGCACTCGTCTTACAAACATGCAAGGGTTTCACTGATGGAGGGCGGCACGCTTTCAAAATGGGGGTTTTCGCCTCAGCGCCGCGGACACTCGCACTACAAATTTACAAAAGATTCTCGGATGGAGGGTGGCTTCTTTTCAAAATGTGGCTCTCGCCTCAGCGCCGCGCTCCGTTACAAGAGTTCGCAGCAGTTCCACGGACTTGTATGGTCGGAATGCCAGGGCGCAGCAGTCACGTTGGTTCGCGGTGTTGATGTCCCAGGAACGGCGTTCTGGCGCGATTCATGATCGTCAAGGCACAAAAGTAACCGTGGTTCGCGGCATGAGATCCCAGGAATGGTGTTTTTGCATAGTTCCAAAGTTTCAAATAGTTGTCTTTCTGGATGGGCGGGCGGGGTTCTGGGACGAAGCTATCCGAGGCAGTAGTGCTTTGCGAGCGGCTGTCAGCCGCCACTTCATGGACGAATCGTGCGACGCCGTGGGCGTCAGCCACCTCTCCATTCTTTTCGATGCCGAGCAGTTTTACGACTCCCTCGACGTGGGGCTCTGCATAGACCGCTGCTTGGACCTCGATTACCCCCCACTATCATCAGCTTGTCGGCGCTCACTTATTTAGGGCCCCGGCTCCTCCGAGATAGGTTATCGGAGAGCCTCCCGATCGATCCGTCCCTTAGCATAGCTGCAGGCTGCCGCTCTGCCAAAAACGCGGCGGCTGCTTTTTTGTATCCCACCCTCGAGCGAATCCACAACAAGTACTTCCCATGGGAAGTTGTCGCCAAATCTTGGGTAGACGCTGTTAATTTTCGAATGGAGGGGGGTCGCAAACCGCTCGTGCCGACTCTGCCCGCCGCCGCCGTCCACCGCTGAGCGTAAGGCCGACGGGCTTAGGCTCTCCTCGAAGTCGGCTGTGATTGCCTGTGATCGGAGCCTCGCGCTGGATCTTGTCACGGCCCTCCGTCACCGGCACATCTCGGTCAAGAGCGAAGGTGCCGGCGCGGACTTAGGCGTTGAGCGTTTCAAGCCATGAAGCTTCGAAAGCTGACGAGCTGGGCGGCTGGGTCGCGAGCTGCCCGCCGCGTGGCCTCCACGGGGATCCTGCCCAGAATAGGCTACCGCGCTAAGGTCCTTCCGCTCGCCCCCAGACCGCTCGAGCTACTCCGTCGCATGCTCGGCCACTTTGTCACGTCCAAGGCCAAGGGCCGATGCCTTACGACCGCGCTCCATCTAGATTACTGCGAGCGTGACCCGGGATTAGCCCTCCCCGCCAGCACTGTCCAGACGCGGCTTGAATTAATGGCCTCCTCCCCACTTTTGAGGAAACGCGCCGCTCGAGTCTGGCCCAAAATCGCAGCCGGCTTGGCCGACGCTGGGCCGACACGGCACTGGTTAAAAATTAATGGCATCATCAGTGGCACCATCCATGTTTTGCACTCGGCTGGCTGGGATCCGCAGGGGCCTTGGACCTGGAAGCACCCGTGTGGCGACCTCTATTCGATGATTTCGGAGGGCGCCTCGGACCAAGACCCCGATTGGTCCACCATCCTGGGGCTCGTTCGCGAAACCCTCCAGGTGGGCCTGTGGAAGGCCGCTGCTGAGCACCATAATGGACGAGGGCTGGACGAGGGAGCCGACACCACGGCTCTCCTCAGCCACATGCGAGCTCTGGAACTGAAGGGAGCCTATAAGCTGCGAGGGGGTTTGGCCAACCTCTCGACTGCGGGCTTTTGGTCTCTCTGCCATCTTTAGCAAGCGGGTGTGAAAATCGAGTCCAATCTGTGTCGTTGTTGCCATAGGTGCCCCGAGACCGATTTTCACACTGTCTGGGAATGCCCTGGGAACTCTCTGATTGAAGAGTGCCAAGGATCCAATCACCTAGCCGATCAGGCGAAGGCAGGTTATTGCGCAGCCATGCTGTTGGCTCCGTCGCTTAATCCCTGCCGCGTGGACCCCGCTCGCCCTCGACCCTAGCATCACCCCTCCTGACCCGCCGGCCCCAACCACTTTTGAGCACCCCCGCCTGGGGCCGATTGTGAGCAGGGGAGGGATTTGGCTTGGAGGCGACGCGACGGGGGGAAAGTACAGCAAGCACCCTCGCCTGAGAAGGAGTTCTTGGGCGGTGGTCTCTTTCAATTTTGGCGTGGACCCACCCCTCTCGCAAGAAAAGGCCACCAAGACGGGAGGCTTTGGGGGTTCCCTTCCTGGTCCGAGGGCAAGGCATTAACCGCAGGGAACTCTTGCCTTTCCGGGAGACCTCGCTGCGACGCCTGCCAGAGACCTCGGTTACATTACGGACTCGCTGTATGTTGCCCGTGGATTCGTCAAGCTCGGACGAGGTCGGTGGTCCACGAGATCCCACAAGGACATGTGGAGATCCGTCAAGAGCCTCCTCGACGGGCGGGACGTTCAGGCCGTCAGAGTCGCCAGCCATCTCACGGAAGACGAGCAGCCGGCGGCGAGTCGAGAGCTTCCGAGCGTGTCGGCGGTCAACGGGGCCGCGGATCGGCTGGTCGATCGCTTCTCGAGTCCCGCGCAAGTGCCCGACTCCGAGGCCCAGTCTCTTTTATAGAGCTCGAGGAAGATGAAGGGGCCCAAGGACACACAAATAAACACATACACACATAAGACGATTCCCAGATTTTCCTATACTTTGGGGGTTTTCGTCTTCGCCCCCACTTCCCATGTTTTCCCATATTTTCTGGGGAATCGATGGTTAATTGTGTATGTGTGCTTCTTCCCCTCCTGAGAAGAGGCCAAACACATTCGGCGATGGATCTTGGCCCTCACGGCTGCTTTCCCCCCCTCGGTCCGCGCGGAAGGCCCCGCAGAGACAGGGCGGGGCAAGACGCCGTTGCTCGACCTTCTCTGCCGCGCGCGCCGAAGCACGTCACGTCGTGCATGCGAAGCGGTGGAAGCGTCTCGAGTGCCAGTCTGAACCGGTTGCCAGAGGCAAGAGAGATCTAATTCACTGGCTGGAACAGCCCTGCAGACCAGGCCCCTCTGCCCTTGGCCGTGCGGCGGGCCCCGAGAGGCGGGGCCTGAGGGCGCACCCATCACACGTCTTGAGGTGGTTTGACGTGGGGAGGGGGGCTGGGCGGGAGCGTGTTCTGGCGTGTGAAGTGTGCGGGGGGCTCGCCTTAGCGCCGCGCACATTCGATTTAGAAAGTTGCAAGAGCTCCACGGATTGAGGGCGAGTCGTTTTCAAAATGTGGCTCTCGCCTTTGCGCCGCGCACATTCGCTTTAATCATTTGCAAGAGTTTCACGGATTGAGGGCGGCTCCTTTTCAAAATCTGGCTCTCGCCTTAGCGCCGCGCACATTCGCTTCAAAAGTGTGCAAAAGGTTTCGCGAATTGAGGGCGGCTCCTTTTCAAAATGCGGCTTTCCTCTTAGTGCCGCGCACATGCTTGATACACTATTGCAAGAGTATCACGGGCTCCCGTTATCGACGTACCAGACATTGTGTTTTGGTAGGGGGTCGCAAATTTGAGGGCGCAAGATTTACGATGATTCGCGGCGTTGAGGTCCCAGGAATGGCTTTCTGGCACGATTCAGGATCGTCAAAACGCAACACTCAGATTCGTCCGTGGCGTTGGAATGCCAAGAATGATGTTTTAACATGCTTCAGGGTCTTCAAACGGTCATCTCCCAACGAGGCAGGTCCATCTGTGGAAATGAGCCGTTGTAGGGACCTATGCAAGGGGGAGCTAGGGGTAGGGTTTATTCCAACATCGTTGGTGACTCACTGGCCCCCCTCCTCGTCCTCCTCCTCCTCCTCCTCCTCCTCCCAACATGTGTTCCTTCTTCATATAACTAACTTCTCCTTGTCGCATCTCGAGGCCAATGTTTAGGGCGGGCCGGGCGTTTCGCCTGAGACTTCCTCACAAGTTATGACCCTGAAGCTTAAACATTGGCAACCGTTTCACAAATGGAGGGCGGGTCGTGGTTTTAAAATGTGGCTCCCGCCTCAGCGCCGCGCACATTCGTTTTCAAAATGTGCAAGAGTTTGACAGATTGAGGGCGGGTGGTTGTCAAAGTGTGGCTCTAGACTTAGCGCTGCGCGCATTCGTTTTAAACATTTGCAAGAGCTTCACGGCTTGAGGGCGGGTGGTTTTCAAAGTGTGGCAATTGCCTCAACGCCGCGCATATTCGTGTTTGTATATTTTTGTATTTTCTTTTTTTATCAAAATTTTGCAAGAGCTCCACGGATTGAGGGCGGGTGGTTTTCAAAGCGTGGCTATTGCCTTAGCGCCGCGCACATTCGCTTTCAAACTTTGCAAGGGGTTCACGGATTGAGGGCGGCTCCTTTTCAAAATGTGGCTCTCGCCTTTGCGCCGCGCACATTCGCTTTAAACGTTTGCAAAAGGTTTCGCGGATTGAGGGCGGCTCCTTTTCAAAATGCGGCTCTCGCCGTAGCGCCGCGCACATATCTAATACAAAATTGCACGAGTATCACGGGTTCCCGTGATCGACGTGCCAGACATGGTCTGGAAGGATTCACAAATTTGAGGGCGCAAGAATTACGATGATTCGCGGCGTTGAGGTCCCAGGAATGGCTTTCTGGCACGATTCAGGATCGTCAAAACGCAACACTCAGGTTCGTCCGTGGCGTTGGAATGCCAAGAATGATGTTTTAACATGCTTCAGGTGCCGTTGCTTGGGGTGAATCTTGGGGTGCGACTGGACGACGGTGCAGCGGAGAGACGCATGCCTGCGTCATCTCGTGGCGGACGCATGCCGCGCGAGGATCCAGAGGAGCAGCAACCAGCTCACAGAGTGGCGCCTTTCCGGCTGCTTTCCCCCCCTCGGTCCGCGCGGAAGGCCCCGCAGAGACAGGGCGGGGCAAGACGCCGTTGCTCGACCTTCTCTGCCGCGCGCGCCGAAGCACGTCACGTCGTGCATGCGAAGCGGTGGAAGCGTCTCGAGTGCCAGTCTGAACCGGTTGCCAGAGGCAAGAGAGATCTAATTCACTGGCTGGAACAGCCCTGCAGACCAGGCCCCTCTGCCCTTGGCCGTGCGGCGGGCCCCGAGAGGCGGGGCCTGAGGGCGCACCCATCACACGTCTTGAGGTGGTTTGACGTGGGGAGGGGGGCTGGGCGGGAGCGTGTTCTGGCGTGTGAAGTGTGCGGGGGGCTCGCCTTAGCGCCGCGCACATTCGATTTAGAAAGTTGCAAGAGCTCCACGGATTGAGGGCGAGTCGTTTTCAAAATGTGGCTCTCGCCTTTGCGCCGCGCACATTCGCTTTAATCATTTGCAAGAGTTTCACGGATTGAGGGCGGCTCCTTTTCAAAATCTGGCTCTCGCCTTAGCGCCGCGCACATTCGCTTCAAAAGTGTGCAAAAGGTTTCGCGAATTGAGGGCGGCTCCTTTTCAAAATGCGGCTTTCCTCTTAGTGCCGCGCACATGCTTGATACACTATTGCAAGAGTATCACGGGCTCCCGTTATCGACGTACCAGACATTGTGTTTTGGTAGGGGGTCGCAAATTTGAGGGCGCAAGATTTACGATGATTCGCGGCATTGAGGTCCCAGGAATGGCTTTCTGGCACGATTCAGGATCGTCAAAACGCAACACTCAGGTTCGTCCGTGGCGTTGGAATGCCAAGAATGATGTTTTAACATGCTTCAGGTGCCGTTGCTAGGGGTGAATCTTGGGGTGCGACTGGACGACGGTGCAGCGGAGAGACGCATGCCTGCGTCATCTCGTGGCGGACGCATGCCGCGCGAGGATCCAGAGGAGCAGCAAGTAGCTCACAGAGTGGCGCCTTTCCGAGGGGCTTTCCGCCGTGCCTTGTGGAACGCATCGCCCCCAGGGAGGCGTGCTTCAGGGTCTTCAAACGGTTGTCTTCCAACGAGGCAGGTCCCTCTGTGGAAATGAACCGCTGTAGGGGCCTATGAAGAGGGAGCCTGGGGGGAGGGTTTATTCCAACATCGTTGGTGACTCTTGGGTTTCCACTGGTCCTCCTCCTCCTTCTCCTCCTCCTCCTCCTCCTCCTCCTCCTCCCTCTCCCTCCCCCTCCTCGCTCCCACTGCTGGTGCTCCCTCGCCAACCCCCCGGCGGCGGCTGCGACGACGACGACGACCACGGCCGACGACCACGGCCGACGACCTCTCTTCGGGCCTCTCAGAGGGCCTGCCCCCGGCGGGCGGGGGGCGCTTTCCTCGGCGAGGAGGCCGCCCAAAAGGAAGCCGACGGAGCCGCCCGCCTGCCGGCGGGCTCCTAAGAGAGCAGGGGGCGGGGGCACGCCACGGGGAGGGCCAAGATTCTATCGGGCATGTCCCTCTTCAGGAGGAAAATTCAAAAATAGTGGGAAAAAGCCTGGGAACGATTTTGGGATGATTGGGGCCATGTTTGAGTATTCTTGACTATCTTGATTTTTTTTTATAAAAAAAAGAAAAAAGACGCCTGTAGGGGGACATACCCAACCTAAGGCTAAGAGGGGGAGAGTGGCGAGGAAGGGGAGGAAGGAAAGCGAGGAGGGCGAGAGGAAGCTAAGAAGGGCGAGGAAGCGGTGCGGAATAGAGAGAGAGGGAGGGAGGGGAGGGCGGGAAGGAGGGGCGTCTCGCAGGCCCCATCTTCAGCTGCGCCCTGGACCTGTTCCTTCTCCCTCCCTCTATCTCCCTCCCTGCTCCTTTTCCCCCTCCTCCTCCTTCTCCTCCTCCTCCTCCTCCTTCCTCCTCCTCCTCCTCCTCAGTATCCACCGCCTCCTCCTCCTTCTCATCATCATCATCATCATCATCATCATCATCATCATCATCATCATCATCATCATCATCATCATCATCATCATCATCATCATCATCATCATAATAATAATAATCCCTCCTCCCTCCTCTCTACTCGCATAGCCCTCTTCCCTCCTCCTCCACCGCCTCCTCCTCATCATCATCATCATCAGCAGCATCTTCCTCTTCATCATCACTATCCGCCACTTCCTCCTCAAAGTAATCGTAAGCATCCGCAGCAGCATCATCATCAGCAGCATAAGCATAAACATAATCATCACCACCAAAAGCATCATCAGCATAATCATCATCATTTTATTAACCAGCATAATCATCATCATCGGCAATATCCGCACCGTCAGCATCAGCACAACCACCACCATCATCAGCATCATCATCACCAGCAGCAGTAACATTTTCGTCATCCTCATCAACATCTTCATCACCAGGATCATCATCAGTATCACCATTTTCGTCAGCATCCCCATCATCAACATCATAATCGGCAACATCATCATCATCATCACCATCACCACCACCACCATCATCAGCATCATCGTCATCCTCATCGTCATCATTATTACCACCCTTACCATCATCATCATCGTCATCCTCCTCAGCAGCAGCATATCCACAATCACCCTCTGCATCCTCATCAACCGCATCACCATCACCACCATCATCACCATCACCATTACCATACTCGTCATCATCAGCATCATCTTCACCTCGTCCTCAATTTCATCCGGATCCTCATCCTCACCCCCGTTCCTTTTCTTCCTCGCCCCCTCCCCATCCCCTCCCCCTCTCCCAAATTCCTCATTTTCCTCCTCCTCCTCCTCCTGCTCCTCCTCCTCCTCCTCCTCCCCCCCTTCTCCTCCTCCTCCTGCTCCTCCTCCTCCTGCTCCTCCTCCTCCTGCTCCTCCTCCTCCTCCTCCTCCACCCCCTTTTCCTCCTCCTCCTTCTCCTTCTCCTCGCCCCGAGGGTGGGGGGCTGGCACCTGTCCGCATGGTGTCAGCGCCGCACAGTCCTCGGGGCACACTGTCAACATCAATTGCATGCGGCGGCTGGGGGCGGATAGAGCGGTTTTCGTCGTTTTTGCACCAGCCACGTGGCACTTTGCCCGTGGCAGCAGCGCGTTACCTGCGCCCGTGACCCGGAGATGGGTACCAAGCGCGGGGAGTGTGCATTTGGTTGAAAGGCGGGGCCATATGGTCCGTAAGTCCCTTGGGACCTTGTGTCCGCTTACCCTGGGGTACAAAACCCCGTTGCACACGCCATCCGATTCGGCAGGGGTGACGGTCGGGAAGTACTGCGCGGTGACGCGGTGAACCGGCTGTCCCCCTTCGCACCACGCCGTCTCGGTTGGGCAGCGAATCGCTGAGCGACGAGGCATATCTGCCTTTCCCCTGACCGTCGGTGCTGGCGCCTGCGGGCCCCTCCCTCCTGTCTGGGGGGCCGGGGGTGACGGTTGAGCCTCGCTCGCCGTTCACTTCTTGAACCTACGACACCCATGACACTCCTAATCCTTTTCCTCATCCTCCTCCTCCTCCTCCTCCTCCTCGCCTTCACCCTCTCCCTCTCTCCTCCTCCCTCCTCCTCCCTCCCCACCCAAGAGGCGCCGCCGCAGGGCCTCCCACATTGTGTTCCAAATCCCGTTCACGGCGTCCTTGGCCTGCGCCCGCCGGCCGGATCGTCGGGGGAGAGAGGGGGGGGGCTGGCCCCAGAGCCAGAACAAGCCAGAACATGATTCCTGGAACTTCAACACCGCGAATCCACATGACTGTTGGCTTCTGACAGCCATCAGTTTTGTCAGAAAGTCGTTACTGTGACTTCGACCGTGCGCATCCTTGAAACTGCTGCGGACGTTGAAAACGAATGTGCGCGGCGCTGAGGCGACACCCGAATTCTGGAAAAGAAACGCCCATCATCCGAGAAACTGCTGCAATTTCTCAAGACGAATTTGCCCGGCGCTGAAGCGGGAGCCACATATTGAAAACAGCCAGCCGTCCTTCCGTGAAACCCTTGCAAATGTTTGAAGCGAGTGTGCGCCGCGCTGCGGCGAGAGCCACATTGGAAAATGGCCCGCGCTCCATCCGTGAAACTCTTGCAAACTTTGAAACGAATGCGCGCGGCGCTGAGGCGAGAACCGCATTTCGGAAACGGCCCGCCCTCCATCTGCAAAATTCCTGCACAATTGTAGGACGAGTACGCGCGGCGCTAAGGCGAGAATCACATTTAAAACACCACCCGCCCTCCACCCGTGAACCTTTGGCAACATTGCAGTTTAAGGATCATCGATGGTGAAGAAATCTGGGGCGAAACGCCCAGCACGCCATACCGACACGCCTCGGAGTGCAACGGGGAGGAACTATTTCTAAGGAGAAGACGCGGAGGAAGAAGAGGAGGAGGATATCGAGCTGGATATGGAACAGGACGACGAGGAGGACGACGGCCTTCCATCCACCGCCCACGGCTCCCACCGTTTTAACTCCCCTCTCTCGTTCTCGCACTCCTCTCTCTCTCTCTCTCGCTTTGTCCCTCTCACTCTCTCTCTCGCTCTCTGTTTCTCTCTCTCTCTCTCCCTCTCTTGCTCTCGGCCAAGCCCAGCGCCCTCAAGGTCTGAATAAACGCCGGGGAACGGTGGAGATGTCGCAAGTCGGCCATGGCGCTGGCACGGAAACGCAGGATCCGCGACCTCCCCCTTGGGGGGCGTGCGTGCGTGCGTGCGTGCGCGTGCGCGTGTGCGTGCGCGTGTGTGCGTGTGTGCGTGTGTGCGTGTGTGTGTGTGTGTGTGTGTGCGTGAGTGCGTGTGTGCGTGTGTGCGTGTGTGCGTGTGCGCGTGTGCGCGTGTGCGCGTGTGCGCGTGTGCGCGTGTGCGCGTGTGCGCGTGTGCGCGTGTGTGCGTGTGTGCGTGTGCGTGTGCGTGTGTGCGCGTGTGTGCGTGTGTGCGTGTGCGCGTGTGCGTGTGTGTGTGTGTGTGCGTGTGTGCGTGTGAGTGTGCGTGTGCGCGCGTGCGCGTGCGCGTGCGCGTGCGCGTGCGCGTGCGCGTGCGCGTGCGCGTGTGTGTGTGTGTGTGTGTGTGCGCGCGTGCGCTTGCGCGTGCGCGTGCGCGTGCGCGTGCGCGTGCGCGTGCGCGTGCGCGTGCGCGTGCGCGTGCGCGTGCTTGCGCGTGCGCGTGCGTGCGTGTGTGCGCGTGTGCGTGTATGGGCGTATGGTCGTGCGGGCGTGCGTGCGCGTGTGCGCGTGTGCGCGTGTGCGCGTGTGCGCGTGTGCGCGTGTGCGCGTGTGCGCGTGTGCGCGTGTGCGCGTGTGCGCGTGCTGTTCGCGTGAGCGCGTGTGTGCGTGTGCGCGTGCGCGTGTGCGCGTGTGCGCGTGTGCGCGTGCGCGTGCGCGTGCGCGTGCGCGTGCGCGTGCGCGCGCGCGTGTGCGTGTGCGTGTGCGTGTGTGTGTGTGCGCGCGCGTGCGCGTGCGCGTGCGCGTGCGCGTGCGTGTGCGCGTGTACGCGCGTGTGCGTGCGTGCGTCCGCGTGCGCGTGCGTGCGTGTGTACGTGTGTGCGCGTGTACGTGTGTGCGCGCGTGTGCGTGTGTGTGTGTGTGCGTGTGTGTGTGTGTGTGTGCGTGCGTGTGTATGTGTGCGTGTGTATGTGCGCGTGTGTGTGCGTGCGCATGTGCGCGTTTGAGTGCGTGCGTGCGCGTTTGCGCGTGTGCGCGTGTGCGCGTTTGCGCGTGTGCGCGTGTGCGCGTGTGCGCGTTTGCGCGTGCGCGCGCGTGTGCGTGTGTGTGTGTGTGTGTGTGCGTGTGTGTGTGTGTGCCTGTGTGTGAGTGCGTGCGCGTGTGCGCGTGTGCGTGCGCGTGCGCGCGTGCGTACGTGCGCGTGTGCGCGTGTGCGCGTGTGCGCGTGTGCGCGTGTGCACGTGTGCGCGTGTGCGCGTGTGCGCGTGTGCGCGTGCGCGCGTGTGCGTGTGTGTGTGCGTGTGTGTGTGCGTGTGTGCGTGTGTGTGCGTGTGCGTGTGTGTGTGTGTATGTGTGCGTGTGCGTGTGTGTGTGCGTGTGTGCGTGTGTGTGCGTGTGCGTGTGTGTGTGTGTGTGTGTATGTGCGCGCGCGCGTGTGTGTGTGTATGCGGGGAGGGCGGAGGCGACGCGGGAGCCCGGCAGGCCACGGAGGCCCCCCCTTGCCAGGGGCGCGAGAGCGCCGTCGGAGGGGGGGCGGCATCCGCGGCTCGGCGCCCCCCTGGAGAGGGGCGCCCACTGAGGCGAGCGTCTGCGTCCTCGCCTTGCCCTCGGCGACCTTAGCGGCCTTGGGCGTGTCTGATCGGCGCACTGCAACAGCAAAGGCACCTCGCATGGATGGCCCAACCGAAGAGGAAGCAGGGGCCGGGGGGGGGCGCAGGGGGGGGCGGAGGGGTGAAGGAGTGACGGGGCGAAGGGGGAAACGACTGGCCCTGTTGGGTGGACCCTGGCACTTTCCCTTGCAGGAGCTTGGACCTTTCCGAGCTCTTCTTGGGATTCGTGCGGGCTTGCAGAACCTCTCACTTCCAAGACAGAAGACACATCCACCGAACAGCACACAGAATATGTAAGCTACGTCCGACTCCAACTCTCTATAGCCCGACGCAGCTTATGTCCTGGGCCAGAGACAGCCTGGATGATCCCCAACAGGGTAGGATTAACTTCCTCAGAAGGGCTGGTAGAGGTCAGACTAACAACACCGAGGCACCTACTGCACCTCAGGGCATCCCCATGGCGCAAACATACATGTTGACTCTGATATGGGCACGGGACCTCGGGGCTCGAAGGGGCCTCTTACGAACCCCAAACTGCAAGTCCGTAGACCGAAAACACGAACGTACAGACAGTATACCAAAAGATCCACGACTGATACTCCTCGCCTGCACTCGTAAAGCAATGAAACTCAGCGGGCCTGCTAAGCCCACCAATCGACAACAATGGACCCAACAATTCGAGCACGGGAACGATCATCCGACGCTTGGTCCATGGCCTGGCGGGCTTTGACTTAACACAGGATGATCCACTGAGAATATCCGATGCGTCTACTCATTTCCCTCCTGAAGAATATCCCAGACAACAAACCTCGGTGGACAACAACAGTGAGGGTGGGGGGTGCCACCGGGCCCATACATCTATCGTCTGGGAACCGCCAGAGCAAGGGACCCATGCTCAGCCACATCCGAAGCCTGATCGCATTCAGAAGGCAATGGGGAATACACCCAGCGCGCAACATTCTGCCCTGACATCTGCACACAGGCGGCTCCCGCGCGGGGAACTTCCTCCCACTCACCGCTGTCGCAAGGCCGCCGACCAACAAATTGTCACCAACTCCAAAGAAGAAGCAAGTCCGCGGGACGACCGACGACCAGTGGTTTCGAAAAAACTCAGGTCCCAATCGGGCGGGACCCCCTGCGGTCACACCCACAAACGGGAAAGCCCCAGGGACCCTGGGCCAGCGGACAGGATCAACTCCAGCACATCGGGTCCAACATTCTCTTTGCGTTTAGCGACAGGCCCCCCATGCCGACAAAGACACGCTCGATGCCATAAAATCCGCCAGCCCTCTAGGCGTAGGTGGTTTAACGAGGTGTGTTGTCTCTCTGCCAATATCTGACCGGACAAGAACGGGAAGCGTCGCTTTAGTCCACCAAGCATGTGGAAAATGCTCTGTTGTTGTTATGCCGCGCAGGTATGCCGTGGCGCGCGTGTCGGCGTGCGTGCGGGGTGTGTTTTGCTGTGCTCCTGTGTGTTCTGCCGTGCTCCTGTTCTGCCATGCTTCTGTGTTCTGCCGTGCCTCTGTGTGCTCTGTGTGTTCTGCCGTGTTCCTGTATCTGCCGTGCGGATCGTCGCGGCCATCGTTTTGGCAGAGCTTCTGGGCGCTCACGGCAGAAAAAGATCAGGAGCACAGCAAAATAGGCCCCAAGAGCGAAGGAGCACGGCAGAGAAAGACAAGGAACACGGCAGAATAGACCCCAAGAGCAAATGAGTACGGCAGAATACACCCCAAAAGCTAAGGAGCACGGCAGAAAATGACCAGGAGCACGGCAGAATAGACCTCAAGAGCTAAGGAGCAGGCAGAAAAAGACCAGGAGCACGGCAGATTAGGCCCCAAGAGCGAAGGAGCACGGCAGAAAAAGACCAGGAGCACGGCAGAATAGACCCCAGGAGCTAAGGAGCAGGGCTGGATATGCCTCAAGTGCGAAGGAGTACGGCAGCATAGACCCCAAAAGCTAAGGAGCACGGCAGAGAATGACCAGGAGCACGGCAGAATAGGCCCCAAGAGCGAAGGAGCACGGCAGAAAAAAAACAGAAGCATGCCAGAGTAGACCCCGAGAGGTGAAGGAGTGCGGGAAAATAGACCCCAAGAGCGAAGGAGCAAACCAGAAAAAGACGAGGAGCACAGCAGAATAGAACCCAAGAGACAAGGAACACGGCAGAATATGCCCCAAGTGCGAAGGAGCACGGCAGAAAAAAAAAGCAGGAGCACGGCAGACAAAGACCAGGAGCACTGCAGAATAGGCCCCATGAGCGAAGGAGCACGTCGGAAACAAACCAGGAGCATGGCATAATAGACTCCAAGAGCTGCCGAGCACGGCAGAAAACGACCAGGAGCACGGCAGAATAGACCCCAAGAGCTAAAGAGCACGGCATAATAGGCCCCAA